CTGCTTGCTTTCTTTTCCTCCCTCCCTCCCTTCCTTCCTAAAGAACACTTTCAACTAGATTGGCTTAATCTTTTCTTTTTAAATTGTTTTTAGTTGTAGATGGACACAATCTTTACTTATTTATTTTTATGTGGCCCTGAGAATCAAACCCAGTGCCAAACAGTTCACTACTGAGCTACAACCCCAGCCCCCAGCTGTTCTCTTAAGCTTGCCCAAGCAAACTGAGTCAGTTTTCCCATGTGTGTGTTGTTTCTTGCTAAGCTAACAAAAGGGAAAGGTGGGGGATGCTGGGGAACAGTGCCCAAGGACATGCTGGTTGGTCACTCAACCTCCTACTGTAACTTTGAGCAAGACATTTCAAAGTGCAAGCTATGTTCCTCTATAATTGGTAGGTTTCCAGGCAGGCTGGCAGAGGTTCAATGAACTCTCTCCATACCATGGGCTATTGCCTTGTGACTCCACCAACATTTCACGATCCCACCCACTGCAGTGCCACCAGGGCCCACCATGTGCATTGCCCTTGATGTGGAAGGTATATCGTCTTCAGTTTGACATCCCTTTCCCTCTTCAGGGAATTTGCCAGTTCAACTCCTCTTCAGGTTACAGTATCCCTCCAAACAGATCCCCGCTGGGACCTCAAGCTGTCTGCATTCTCAGATTCATATAAAATCCCACACCCATGCCACACCATGAGGGGCAGTGCAGTATTCCTTCAAGACAGCCTGCCTTTCTTGGCCATCACTGTCAGCCTTACTCAGCCTCTTGCCTACAGGAAGTTTCAAGCCTCAATGTGGCACTGATTTGTGGTGCCAAGAGACTTTACAAAAACAAATAATTCCTGTAGGCTTGAAACCTCTCGCCAGGGGAAGGAAAAGTTAGCTTCTCCTCCATTTCATAGGAGATATGTGGAAAGTGAGGAGGACCTTCTTATCAAAGAAAACCAGAGCTGAAGAGGAGTAAAAGTGTCAAAAATATTTCATTCAAGAAAAATTAGGAAAAAGACCTCAGAATAGAACTAGGCTCCATTCTAAATACAGCCTGAACAAGTGGGCATTTATAGTGGGAGCACGCTGAGGGGATCCCTGGATGGAAATAAGTGGAAACATCAATTTTGACTAAACAAACAAAACAGGATTATTATTGAAGTTGGTCACATGATCAGATACCATTTGTATGTGTTCAGATCTCAAGGGAGATCATTAAATATCTGAAAGTAAAATTCTATATATTTGTAATGGAAGATGCTGTTTTATTGTGAATAGATTTGAACATATGACAGCATCCTTCAATATGGTTACTAAGTTAACTTTTTTTTTTTCATTTGGTAAAGATCCATTGCTTTCCCCAATACCTATACATGCTGGCTGTGTCACACTAAATGCAGAAAGACCAACCCTTACTTAGCATACTTCTACTTGAAAGAGTAGATAAAGCTGTTTTTGAAACAAAATCTCACCTTAATAGTTGTCTCAGGTCAGTTCAAATATTTATTGACATAACACTATAAATCAAATAAATAGTATGGGGCCATTCCATTTCAGAGCTCATAGGTTATTACTGGTGGAAGGGGGAATGGGGGATTATGAATACACAAATCATTTGGTGTTAATA